TCATCTTATTAAAGCAATAATGATAATGATAACAATAATAATAATAACGATAGTAATAACAATATTGATAATAATGATGGTAATGGTAGAAATGTAATACTATTGGTACGACTAATAGTACTAGTAATATCATTATTACTCTCAATATCATTATCATTATTGTAATTACTTTCATTATTACAAGTGTTATTATTGTGATCCATTATCATTATTGTTATAATTTTCATAATCATTATTGTTGTTAATATTATAATTCATTGTTTTTTTTATAATTATTATGATTATTATCATCATTGATCTAACCTTTAGCATTATTACGGTTATGATTACTACCATTATTATCATCATTATTATTATTACAGTCATTATCATTATTTTATTTTTTGTTGTTATTGTCATTGATGTTATTCTTATTTCCTTTATTGCGTTTAGCTATTATTATCATTATTATTATCAGTTATTATTACTGTTACCTTTAACATAATTGTTATCTTTATTATTATTATTATTGTTATCATTATTATTATTATTATCATCATCATCATTATTATCATCATCAATATCATTATGATCATTGCTATTATTACCATCATTATTATTATCATTATCACTATTGCTATCATTATCATTGTTATTATCTTTATTACTATTACTATTATAATCATTATCTTTTTTATCAGTATGATGATAATATTTATTACTATCTCTATTATCATCATATCACCATCACCATTATCATTATTACAATTATCATCATTATCAATCTTATCATTATTATCACCATCATTAGGGTGATAAAATAATGCCGGTTTGTTAAAACTATTCAAGGGCCGATTATATATACAAATATACAGATATACAGACATAGGCATTTATTTCTGTGTATTTGCATGTCTGCATCTATCAATATTCATCGGATAGGGTCTCGCATAATTGTAACAAAGCGGCCGATAAAAAAACGAAGACGACAAAGGTAAGACTGAAGAAAGAGAGATGGATCAACATCTGTGATCGTATGTCACAGTGCGTTGTTGAATAAAAAAAAAAACGCCTAATTTCGCCAATCTCTAATGCATTACATCATTTCCCACGAATCTTGTTATTCTTTGAATTTATTTGCAACTAGACATGTATCCTTGTTGTTTGGAAATATGTGTATTTTCGGTATTGGGTTATTAATACTGATTTCCGTCTGGGACAACAATCATTTGAAAACCACGATGTACGATAATGACCAAATCGGGGTGAAATAAGGTCATGTTCTTTGTCATTTTATTCTTTAAGAAATGTATGTTCTTTGCTTCAGTTATGTTTATAATGTTTCTCTAATCGATTTCTTATACATGAGAGTGATAAAAGCCTGATATCAAGGCTAAATTGCACTGTGTCTTTTGTTAGAATACACATTTTGGGGTAAAATATCAAGTGCTTCCGTAAATCTTTTGTAGATGGTCCCATAAAACAAAAATATGAATTAAGCACCAAATAGAAGCATGACAATAGAAAGAAAATAAATCAAAGAAGAATGAGAAAAGAAACAGCAGGCGCGCGAACGGAAAGAAGGGTGAAAGAGAATAATAATGGTAACAATGAAATCAGATGAAATGAGACAAAGAAAAGATAGTCAGGAGACCAATGAAGATGAAAATTGCCTAAAAAAGGAGGTAAAGGAGTAAAAACTATACAAAAATGAAACTAAAATGCAGTTTAAAATGAAAGAAACGGACAGAGAATAATAATTACAATAACATGGAATAGGTAAAAGAGTAGACAAAGGAATGACGTGAAATTAGGTCAAAGGAAAGAGAAAATTAAACAAGAAAAGAAAAGGAAGATCGTGCAAAACCTGATAAAGAAGGGAGCAAAAGACACCTGCAAGGAAGGAGGAACGAGTTTAATAATAGCAACAAAATTACACGGGGCACAAATGTAAACAAAGAAAAGACATGAAAGGAGAGAAATACAAACTGAAAGTGAAAACAAACATTAAAATCTGGATTAGAATTACGAAAAGGGCACGGAAAAAGAGAGAGAAAAGAGAAGTGTAGAGAGTAATGTTAATAAATAAGGGTGGGCTAGGAATCTTAACAAAAATAATAAAAGAAAAGATCAATTAAAATGGAAACTAAATGAAATAGAAAAAGACAGGCAAGACATAAACATGGAAATAAGTGGAAGGCAGGGAAGAAAATGAAAACAGTAGAAAACAGAGAAAAGAAGAGAAGAGATGAAGGGATGATTAAATAATTGAATAGCCTTTAACAACAAAGGAAGAGCGAGGCAGAGATGGATAAAGAACTGAATGTAAGCTCGACCAAATAGGTCAGAAATTGTTCTGTGTACACAAGAAAGAGAGAAATATGTATGTATGTATATATACACGTATGATATATATAGTATATATATATATATATATATATATATATAATTACATATATATATATATACATATATATATATATATATATATATGTAATTTGTACACACATGTGTGTGTGTGTGTGTGTGTGTGCAGTGGTGTAATGTACACACACACAGATATATATAATATATATATATATATATATATATATATATATACTAATATACATATATATGTGTGTGTGTGTGTGTGTGTGTGTGTGTGTGTGTTGTGTGTGTGTGTGTGGTGTGTGTGTGTGTGTGTGGTGTGTGTGTGTGTGTGTGTGTGTGTGTGTGTCTGTGTGTCTATGTGTGTGTGTGTGTGTGCATACACGTATATATACATATGTGTATATATATGTATGTTTATGCGTATATATATGTTGTGTGGTGCGCGGGTGTGTATATATATTCACACACACACACACACACACACACACACACACACACACACACACACACACACACACACACACACACACACACACACACACTACATATACATATATATATATATATATATATATGTGGTGTGTGTGTGTGTGTGTGTGTGTGTGTGTGTGTGTGTGTGTGTGTGTGTGTGTGTTATGTGTGTGTGTGTGTGTGTGTTAATTGCATGTATGAATGTATGGCTGTGTGTGTGTATGTATGTGTATAATTCAGTGCACTATAATCCGCGCTCACATTTAACAGTCTGTTGCAACATGTTCTTCACAAAGCCATCACTGCGCTGCCAACTACATCGTTATCACCAAGTCCCCATTCCTTTACCCCCCCCCCTCGACGACAGTCTCCTTACCCAGCGCAGCCCAGTCCAGCAAGAGAAGAGTGAGAAAACCCTATTATTGCTACAGTCGTTTCCTATCCTATGTTTTCAGTTATGTTTTGTTTCTTGTTATTTAGAGCTTTATCAGTTCGCACGCTCACCATCCTTCGCCTTCTTGCGGTCGTTATTTACTTTCATCTCGTTTATTGCTCTGTTATTACCGGCATTATTTCGTTGTTATCAATTACCCACTGTTTTTACCCTCGCCCTCCAAGCTGTCTCTCCTCGCGTATATAAGCAAATGTGCCGGTCCTTTATTCTACGTAAATCTTTGTCGTGTATCATTATCCGATATTATCTATCAACCACGACCTATTACCCATCATTATCGTCATTATCCCTTACCTACAGCTTTATCACGTTTCTTGATTTTCCACGCCTTCGCCGCACGCAATCTCCTTCAGCTGGAAATAGTGCGACTGTGTCTTATCCCTTGAGTCAGCTACATAAACCTATTATGCATATTTTTAACGGTTTAAAACATGGCCCTTTCTTGCCGCCAGTTTCCCCAACTCACACTCCCACAACTTTATCTTATTTCTTAGTTTTCCTTCCCTCCGCACGTAACCTCCCCTCATCTCATGGACTTTTCTACGTGAACTTAACTTCATCCGATGTTATCAAGGAGCCATACCCTCTATATACCCTAATCATTATCCTAATCACTATCCCTTACCCGCAGATTTATCACATTGCCTTTATTTCTCTCCCCTTTCCCCTCACGCCGTACGTAGTATCTCCCTCGCCAGTCCTATATCTCGATTTTTTTCTACGTAAACTTAACTTTATCTGATGTTATCAATGAGCCATACTCTCTACTTACAGTAATCGTTATCCCTTATCCGCAGATTTATCACATTTCCTTTATTGCCCTCCCCCTCCCCTCACACCGCACGCAACTTCCCCTCGTCTGTCCCATGTCTCAAAAATTTATGCGTAAATTTAACATTATCCATACACTCTACATACCCTAATAATTATTATCCGTACCCGAGATATTATCCCATTCTTTATTTCCCTCCCTCCTCTCCCTACACCGCACGCAACCTCCCCTCGCCTGTCCCATATCTCGATTTTTTCTACGTAAACTTAACGTAGCCATACCCTCTATATACCCTAATCATTATCCCTTACCCGCAGATTTATCACATTTCCTTTATTTCCCTCCCCCCCACACCGCACCGCAACCTCCCCTCTCTGTCCCATATCTCGGTTTTCTTCTCGTAAACTTAATTTAGCCATACTATCTAATATACCGCTGATCATTACCCCTTTCCCCTTATCACATTTATCATTTCTTCCCCCCCCCCCCCCCCACCGCACGCAAACTCCCCTCTCTGTCCCATATCTCGATTTTTCTTTACGTAAAACTTAATTCTATCCATACCTCTATATACCCTAATCATTATCCCTTACCCGCAGATTTATCACGTTTCCTTTATTTCCCTCCCCCCACACCGCAGGTAACCTCCCCTCTCTGTCCCATATCTCGGTTTTTCTCTACGTAAACTTAATTTTATCCATACTCTCTATATACCCTAATCATTATCCCTTACCCGCAGATTTATCACATTTCCTTTATTTCTCTCCCCTCACACCGCACGCAACCTCCCCTCTCTGACCCATATCTCGATTTTTCTTTACGTAAACTTAACTTAGCCATACCCTCTATATACCTAATCATTATCCTAATCATTATCCCTTACCCGCAGATTTATCACGTTTCCTTTATTTCCCTCCCCCACACCGCACGCAACCTCGCCTCGCGTACAACATTATAGCCTTCCAGCGCGCAACATCCCACCAGCAGTGAGTGAGAGAGAGGCACACACAGAGAACCCGGGGAAGCCGCACCCTCCTAAAACATTTTTACGCTTTTAGTTTTTTTAAAAAAGGGGGAACAAGAAGGGAAGGAGAAAGAACCAAGACAAGAAATACTAATTCGGGACGACCTCTTCTCTTCTCTTTTGTTTCCAATCTCTCTCTCTCTTTCAGCAGGAAGACTAGTAGACTGGACCCATTCCCATTCATAAAGATACCCAAGAGAAGGGTACGAATTATCCTTGCAAACGAAAAGAAAGACCCAACTACCATTTTTTCTCTCCCTCCCCACCCCTCGCGAGAATCACGTAACGAAAACACCCAAAGAGACAAAGAGAAGTAAAGACAGAGAGAAAAGAGAGGGGAAAAAAACTCCCAATAGAGGAAGTGTATTGTGTGCTATTGACCTTTACGTGTGTCCCATTAGCGTCCCTTTTGAATGGGGATTAATAGGTTCCTGGTGGTGCTGGAGACTGACCAGGCCGTCTACAGCAGCGGCCAGGATGTGGCTGGCTTCGTCGAGGTCTTCGTCGAGTCCATCATGGCTTGTAGAGGTGTGTGGATATTCATTATGAGAAAGATTTAAAAGGTCTAAGAATCGGTATAGTAGGACCTGTTTAACCAGTTTATTTCATGTATGTAGTGTTGTTAGGTGGACTAGGATCTTTAATTTATTTATGTATTATCTTAATCACTAAGTCACGTACAATCGTCAAAGAGGTTTATAGAAGGGGCATAGATTGAATGATAAGATGGTGCAAAGGAAGTATTGAAATGAAAAGAAGGGTTTGCGTCTTTGTTGTCGTGTAACCGTTTGATTTATCTGTCGTAGCTTGTAGAAGTTTATACAAAAAGTTTGCTGTATATGTTTTTATGCTCTATTTTATATAAATATACTATTTGGTCTGTTTTATCATTGGTGGCAGAAGTCTGTATGACGGAATATTTCTTATCTTTGTTATTACTCCTTTTTCTGTATTTTTTGCTTTATTTCATTATACCTGACAGATTTAGCAGCAAAAAGAGGGTACTGTCTTTGGTCTGCAATGTCATCTGTTGTAATTTCAATTTCTATTTGTTCCTGAGTGTGTGTAGAATGTAGTGTCTTTGTTGTACAGACCCATTTTTCTTTGTCTTGGACTTGATCTGCCATGATAGCACAAAAAAAGGTGTCGTGTCTTTGTTATGTTTGTCCTTTTTATTTGTTACATGGCTTTCAGAGGTTATTGGGGGAAGGAAGGTGCTGTTTCTTTGTTATTCAGTTCTTGGTTATGGGTGAGGAGTCTTGTGTCTTTGTTGTGCTTGGCCTTACTTATTTGTTCTTGTAGAGGTCTGTAGTGGAAGGAGAGTACTGCCTTTCCTTGTGTTTGTCCTTTTTATTATTTTTTATTAATTTCTATTATTTTTTCTTTTATTATCATTATTTTTTTTTTTTGCAGCATTTCCTTTGTGTATTTCTTCCAGTTTTTTACTGGAGACATTTCAATTGTGATTTCATTTTCTTCTTTGTCTTCTTCCTCTTTCTCCTCCTTAACATGGTTATTTAAAGATGTTTGTTTTAGTCTTTTTTTGTTAGTAATTGTACCAAATGAATATATGTAGGTAATTGAATACATTCTGCAGCATTCTTACTTTCAGAAAATATGAATATATTGAATTTATACTAATCTGGAAAAGGTATCACTGAGAATAAATGAAATGCCAAAGATATATATATATATATATATATATATATATATATATATATATATATATATATATATATATATATATATATATATATATATTAATATATATATATATATATTATATATATATATATATATATATATGTATATGTATATATTATATATATATATATATTATGTATATTAAAATGAATTTTAATTAAATGTATTGGCAAGGTTAAAGATTTAAAAACTGCTTTTTATGAGGGTGTAAATTAATTTTGTCTGATAAAGGGGTGTGATTTTATAGAAATCCATATTGATATGCAGAGTGGTTGTGATAGTACTTTCCTGATTTTTAATTACTTTAATTTTTGGTAATTCTTTACAGTCCCCAACTCTACGTCACAAAATTTATTCATCTGTCTAAGGTGCCGTGACTGGGCATGCCTGAATGGGAGGGTTGATGGGGGGCTCTACCCCCAACACCCCCTGAGAAACATTGTATTAATCTTGGTATACATGGCATGATAGAGCTGAAACTCAAGAGGCTGAGAGCAGTACTTTCTGTGATCTTTTTTTTTATTACTTATTTATTTGTGGTGATACCTTTCATGTCTGCAAATTGTTTCTTGTACTGAGGACTGCAGTTTTTTGTCCTCAACAAGAATATCATATTCAATTTACCTTAAAGTAGTGTGTACACACCATAAAGATTTTTCTGTACCATGTTTTTAATTCCTTTTGTACTCATTGTCATGTATGTCAGCATTAATTCATTGTGCTAGAATTAATGAATTCCACTTCTACCAGTGATTTCTTTCTTTCACCCTAATTAAAATGATAATTGTAATTATAATTTCTTTCACGTATCCTTAATTCTAATCCCAAACCTAATTTTATTCCTAACTGCAATCACCCAGTTTTAATCTCTGTCATGATTCTTATTTTCTTTCATCTCCCAGTCCCACATGTAATTTCCATTTTGCTCCCTCTTATGATTCTGATTGCAAACCTAATCTTATTCCTACTCCTAAATCACCCATTGCATCAGTATCTGAATCCCACTTGTATCTCTAACTTCTTTCCCTCATCCAAATTATAATTATAATTTCTTTCCCTTGTACTAATGATAATTTGAGTGTGAATAACTTCCACTCATCCCCTATTCTAATACGAATTTTCTTTTAATCCTAATCCCAGCCGCCTATTCTTCTTTACAGACAAAATTCTGATTTCCTTCCACCTC